AAGACCTTGGACCAACTTATTGCAAAGCCTAACTTGCGCAGCAAATCAATCAAGACTCTTAGGCCTTGTGCACAACACTGTTTAGTGAGTTCGCAGATGAAGAAATCATCTAAATATGCAATAACGGTAAAGCCTCTGCGTGACATCATGCGGCGAATAGCCTGTGAAATTCTATGAAAAATACCAGGTGCTAATTTTGAGCCAAAGGGCAATTTTTTATCAATAAAGGTATGGGTTTGACCGTCAGGGAAAGTCCATTGTAAACCTGTTACCTGTTGACTACAGCGACTGATGCCAACAGATCTGTAAGCAGATTTCAAATCGACTTTAGCCATGAAACAATTTTTTGTGACTAATTTTGCTGCATCATCAACAGATTGAAACTTTTGTTTTTCCATATCCCCAGCAAAATCATTAACAGCTGACCCAAGTGGTCTGCTACAATCATGGATTATTCTTACACCTCCATCAGGTTTTGGAATGACACCTAATGGACTGATAATTTTGGGTGTAGATTTAGTTAACTCATAATTCCCATTTTCAATTTCAGTTAAAATCTGTTGATGAGCTTTTTCATATAACGGACTTGAGGGAAGAGCTGAAGGGTGATTTTTTGCTGATATTTTTATTAAAGCCAAATCATTTTGAACAATGTCAAAGCCATTTTTTATACCATGTAAAAGAAAATCCTTATCAAAATCATTTTTTAATTCTTCTTGCCAAACATTAAAATCTAGGTCACGCACAGGCTTTACCTTTATACCTGGTTTTTTGGATGGGCAAAGGATTGATGATGGGCCCCACACCCCTGGATTGAACAAATATGCGCAAAACGACAGCTTTGTAATGTGCAACCTTTCCTACTGTTATACTTTCTGCAGATTTCTATACCTTCTGCAGAGTGTGAGGTATACTTTACATTGTCCTGCTGTTTACTTGCAAACTTTGCTGGACCAGATGCCTGAGGTTTAGTGTACATGGCTTTTGGCCGAAGGTACACAGACTGCAAATGAGGAATGTCAGTGCCCCACCTAAAATTGTGTTGTTTTTGGAGTCTACGGTATTCCCTATCAAAAAACAGCACTGACACAAATTCACAAGATGACACCAAGTGGTAAAATCTCATGGTATATGACAAATAATCGAGCACCTGTGTCTGTGTCAGTTCACCTGTGCTTAGCAATTTGTACATGATGGACAAATTTGCCCTAGACCACTGACACAGAGACAGGGATTCAAGTTTCGGTCTTAAAGGTCCCGATTTAAACACAAGTTGCCCCCCTGATGAATCCGAAATTAGGCGTTCCTCAGGCATGCTGGTCCCCCCTATATCATATGAAACAAAATCCGAAATATCATAAAAATTAATTTTACAGTCTATATTTGATGATTTCAAATAAATTTGAGGATCCTGCCAAGATATGCTAGAGTTTATACCTAAATTGTTCATTAAATTGTCACTTGGATTCACTGCAACAGGTGAAAGTTCTTGTTGCTTTTGGTTAGCTAACTGCTTTAGCACCGCCTGTATGTAGTAATCCTCGGGTGAGCCGCCATCTTTGTTATTTCCATGGGCACCGCCATCTTTGTTCGGTCCCCGGAAACCGCCATCTTTGTTTGTTCCACTGGAGCCGCCATCTTTGTTTCCTCCGGAAGCATTTCCAAATTCGCCATCTTGAAATTCTACGTCACCACGTTGTGCGCATGCTCTTGATGTAGATGCCGTCTCCGCGAACTCGCCATTAATTTCGTGTGGAAAAGTCTTTTTCACTGCCTTTAACAAGAGCTTCTTTTGTCCAATTGGAATATTAGTCTCTTTTAAATCGTCAGCTTCGATAAGAGATAACGCTTCCATGCTGTTAAAACCAAGCTCCAAAATAGCATCGGCTGTAGCTTCAGTCAGCTTCATGACATTGGCCCACGCCCTCACTTTATCAGACGACTGTCTTTCGGCTGTAGTCATGAACGTAACGTCTTCGTCGTCGGACATTTTTAATGTGCTGTTGAATGTTAATAATTAAAAATACAGTTGATTGCAAAAAGTTAATCGCGTCTCACTGACGCGTTGGAAGCGCAAACGCACATCTTTGTGATGTAACCACAGAAGAAACAGCCATTGCATGAAGCTGCACAGTCCAGCTTAATACTCCAATAAACAAATCGTCGACTTCCTTCGGACTGTCGGAAATATCTTGCAAAAGTACGAATGTCACTTTCTGTTAACAAATTCCAATCGGGAATGTTCAATAAGATTCTTATTCGTTTGTCTGCACGTTCGTATATCTCTGGGTTCATTTTCACTTCGAAAATACTAATCCATATTATGTTAAAATAATTATATACGATCCTGGTAAAAAACGGCAGGTTAAGAAATTATTTTCCCGAAAAATATAAAATGACTGCTACAAGCAAGCGCTGCTTTAAGAATAATTAAGATTGCGCGTTTAAAACAAAAGCCCTGCTAATTAAGTGCTGATTGGTTAATTCAAAATTAATGAGCAATCTCATTGGTTAATTAGTATGATCTCGCAAAACAATTAGTAAACGAGAAGCACATGCAGAAGTGACTGGGAAACCCCCTTGCTGATTGGATAATAATCTTAACACGTCAGGGCCCCTGCATAACTTATGTACAGCATTCCAAAACGTATTGTGTCTTAATAATCTATTTACCGTATTTTCCGGATTAAAAAGCGCACCCCTAAATAAGGCGCACGGCCGTTTTTGGGGGTGAGGATTGTTTTTTTCCTTACATAAAACGCACCTGCATATAAAGCGCACCCTGAAGAAAACGTACATGCATTCTACTGACCTTAGCGTAATGAATGTTCACTCCTTCTTGTAACTCACTCCGTAACATGTTTCATTTTTATTTTCAGATTGTTGAGAAAGTTGAAAGACATATTGTATATATTTATTTGTTTCATATTAAAATAAATAAATGTTAATAAAATTATTATAATTTTCTTATTGTTTTAATCATGCCAGATTCATTAGTTGTTTTTTGTCAACAATGGCCATGTGTTGACAGCTTGGGTGTCCATTGAACCTTGTTGTTTTGATTAAAATTAGTTCGGTGTTGATTGCTCATTTATTGTTTGAATTGGAATCAAGGATTTTAATTAATCTTGAAAAGGTATTCATTAAAAGTTACCCAAGCCATAAAACTGCCGTTGTTTACCTTGATTGTGACCTACTTAATTACCTGTACCCACGTGTGAAAACTGTTCACCCATAAGTCAGGAAAAAAATTATTAAATTAAATCTAAAGAATTTTATTGTTGTTTATAAAATAAAAGTTTAAGTTTTTTAAGTAACAAACATTTTTCAATTTAAACTTGGTTGAAAACTACAACAAAACCATTCAGTTTCTGCAAGTCATTGTCTATTTTTAACTGAAAGTGAGATGGGCCACGGAAAGGGGAATTCAAATAAGACGGCAATATATAAATGTCTTAGCATATTGAATTATGAAAATTAATATTCATTTTTTTTTATTTCTTACACCAATATGTGACTACAATATTTCATAAAGATATTTCATTTTGAAACAATAAAACAATAAGCAGTTACTCCTCAATAGTATATCCTGTATGGTACCTCTTTTCAAACACGCTTATCTTTCTTTGTTTATGAAACACTTTAAAGGGTTCATTTCAGTACATGGTTATCACCATCGTCATTAAAAGAGACTTGAAATATTGGAAAGAAACACAATCACTACCTTTATTATTTCTAAAGAAGATTTTATTTAAAAACACATTACAACAACAAAGAATTACATATTTATTGTAAATACACAATTAATATCCTGTATGGTACCTCTTTCAAACACGGTTATCTTTCTTTGTTTATATAATAAACACATGGTTATCAACTTCGTAAGCCAACAATGAAATAAAGAACAAATGATAAAGTATATATATTTTTATTCATAACAAAATATGCCACATGAACAATTTATCAAGTCACTGCAAGCACTTGACAATCTGACGGTCTCCATAAAAAAAAATCCAGATACATATTTTTTTTTCACACTTGCCCTGAAACTGAAAAAAATACATACACAAAGCGCACCTGAGTATAACACGCAGGGACAATGACAGAGAAAAAAACCTGCGGCTTATTTAACGAATTTAACGGTATATAAAATAGTTCCACCATGTAATTAGTTGAGCTACTTATGACATTAATAATACTGTGAAAGCTTATTGGTATGTATATGTCATATGTTTGGTCTGATCAAAAGATGATGAGAAGTTGAGAGAGAAGAAAACACTCCATTGTTTTGTATCCAGAGAAATATGACTATGTACCTTTTCATTTGCTAAAAACAAATGTTTTAGTTTCTTTCATTGTAGAACCAAATTAAAAGGTCTTCAATATCAAACATTAAATAATTTATTTCCACACTAATAATTTTGATGGGGGTCTTTGAAGCTTAATTTGTCCGTTCAATCAGGTGTCTATATCCCCAAACAAGACATGAAATATTTAACTATTTGAATTCTGTTCATCGTTTCAAGATTCCCATTACACCAGTCAAGCTATGTGTAATCTATTCTATTAATTAACAGAAATAGAAATGTAAGTCATTGGATAAATGATTTAAACCTAATGTTTTTAAATTTAAAAAAAAGGTAAAGAGCTTTGACTTTATACCATGCTAATACAAATATTTGGGATCTCGGCGGATCACAAAAAAAAACCTTACATTTATGCTGTGGGTCCATGAATTGCAATAATAAGTGCATGCAATAATTTCTATATTTACAGTAATTAACATCAGAAGTGGATGACATCACTAGAAATGTAATTTTATGTCTGGCATTACATGAAATGCAAGATTCATATCTTTTAACCTTTAAATTAGTTTTAAAACATATTTTTCTCATTATTCCTCTTTCAATATTGATTCTTTGGTAAAAGCTTTCAAATTTAGAGACTGAAATTAAAAGTATTATTTACTGTGTGTATAAATTAATCTGTATTCTACTCACCCTTCCCATATCCTCCAAGAAGTTTTGAAACAAGTTCCACATATGTGGACTGGTATAAATCTCTTTCATCTCAACCTCTGTATCAATGTAACAGTGATTTAGGAAGTTAATGTATGCTGCTTTCACCTGCAATCATAATATAAACCTTTACAAAATTACACCTTTACAAAATTAACAGAATTAAGGAGTTCAATTTGTGAAACATGAAGTAATTCAACATTTAAAAAAAATGTGTTTGTTGAAAGGACGGATCATAACAGATAAGGTAAACACAATATAGCCCCATTCCTAATAACAATGTAAACATTTCATTCCTCACTATAGGTGCCAAATAAATAATTAGTGTATTCTTTTTGTCTATATTGTAAGATTTTAAACTCTTACAAAATCCTCTGTTTAGAGATCTGAAAGTTTTGTGTGTGACATCATAATGAGCAGAAAATTCTTTGTCAACGAGTAGTGATAATGGCAAACGATGACGAGGAATTTATGCATGCTTTCTTGAAAACTTGCCTAGACCTCATAGATTTGGGTTGGTTGAAAAAAAAAAACAGGAGCTAAGGTTACCATGCTTTCTAACCTAACCATGAAACCAATATTACCTAATCATTGGGAGAAGCAAAGTGCCTTTCAAATCATCCAATAAAAACATACATTCAACTGGACTTATTATTTACACACATAGAAATAAAAATATGTGGTAAGATTGCCAATGAGACAACTATCCAACAAAGTCCAAATGACATAGATGTAACCAAATATAGGTCACCATTAGATCCTCAACAAAAGAGAAAAATCTATACTGTATAGTCAGATATAAAACGCCTCAACATGACAAAATGTGTAACACTTCAAAAGAGAAAACCAATGGCCTGATTTATGACAACACAATAAAGGAATACACATATGACAGACAGCAACAATTAACATCATTGAGTTACATGCTCCTGACTTGGAATAGGTACAAAAAGATAATGACAAGGATGAGTGCTCAACCCTCACCTAACCTGGGATACTGATGTTACAGTGCAATGCATGTTTCAAGCAAAGGTTCACCTGTTTTTTTTATCTCCTAACTATGCAACTGACTTTTCCTTACTAAAAGAATTTTATCAAATATGAAAATCTTTTGATTTCAACAAAGTAGAGGCTCTAAAGAGCCTGTGTTGCTCACCTAGGTCTATGTGCACCTTTTTGTGAATTAACTTTTTTCTTCAACAATGGGTAAAAACACCAAAAAATTTGTAAGGGTTCCGCGGAACCCAGTGTCTCGCCTACTTTTTCTGTTAATCGCAGGCTCAACAAAAATGAGGAAGTAAATCAATAAAAATATTCCTCTTGATACTATCTTTTGATTGTAAGAAGCTTCTGTCCAAGTTTGGTAAAAATCCAGGATAGTTTATGAATCTAATAAATGTTTAAAAACTTTAACTGCAGACTGAATGTAATGTTTACTGGAAGAAAACAAAATTTCCTTCTAGATACTAGCATTTGATCATAAACAAGCTTCTGTCCAAGTTTGGTACAAATCCAAAATAGTATAAGAAAGCTATTAAAATTTTAAAAACTTTAACCACAGAGTGAATATGTTGTTTCCTGGCAGAAAATCTAAGTCCATTTAAAAGTAAAATACGGAAAAAATGGATTTATTTTTTTTTTAAATTTCCTTCTAGATACTAGCTTTTGATCATAAACAAGCATCTGTCCAAGTTTGGTACAAATCCAAAATAGTATAAGAAAGTTATTAAAATTTTAAAAACTTTAACCACAGAGTGAATGTGTTGTTTCCTGGCAGAAAATCTAAGTCAATTTAAAAGTAAAATAAGGATAAAATGGATTTATTTTTTTACAAAATTTAGATACTATCTTATGATCATAAACAAGCTTCTGTCCATGTATGGTACAAACCCAGGATAGTTTAAGAAAGTTATTAAAATTTTAAAAACTTTAACCACAGAGTGAATGTAATATTTCCCTGCAGAAAAACTAAGTCCATTTATAAGTAAAATACGGAAAAAATGGAATTTTATTTTTACAAAATGTACTTCTGGATACTATCTTATGATCATAAACAAACTTCTGTCCAAGTTTGGTAGAAATCCAGGATAGTTTAAGAAAGTTATTAAAATTTCAAAAACTTTAACCACAGAGTGAATATTTGTGGACGCCGCCGCCGACGACGTTGACGGAATGTAGGATCGCTATGTCTCGCTTTTTTGACTTAAGTCGAAGGCTCGTCAAAAATGGTAAAAATCATCATTAGAGAGCAATAACTCCAATAAGGAGTCAAAACAATTTGTAGAACTTGTCTTGATCAATTTTGCTATTTAAAGATTCTATCTTTCCATTATAAATTTTAAGATATAAGGCAAAACACATAAAATTAATAAAAATCGTCAATGAAGGGCAATAACTCCAATAAGAAGTCACCTGACGATTTTAGACGTACTGCTCATAAATTTAAAGATACAAAGATACCTACCTCAGGAATACAGTCTGGGTGTGTGACTACTCTAACAATGTCATCTAATGGAAGTAATGAGTGACACTTTATCTCTGTGTAAACATTCTTGCCTTCAGTACACAGAGCAAGTAGTTGTACTAAATTGATGTGGTAGATAAGTGGACTTGCGGCATCAGTTCTATGTCTCTCAGATCTCATTAATTCAGTGAACTGATTGAATGATGATCTGTCATTGTAAAATAGTAGTACTTCCTCTCCAACATTCACAAGCTGAAATATACATGTTGGCCATGTTAATTTATACTAACATTCACTACATGTCTGAGAACAATAAATTTCTCTTTAAACATTTTCAACTGCCTGATCATTCCATTGTTTCCATGAAAGCGAGGATTATATAAAAAATCTATCATTCAACAAATGATCCCATATTGAGTACACTCTATCACTTACAAAGAGAAGATTTTTGGATTTGAGAATTGGGAACAGCATCCCTGAGGGATGCAAAAACAAAATTGATGGTGCAGGTTATTTTGTCCAGTCCCAGTTGTATTGATGTCAAAAATGGAGAATGTGTCCTTGGGACACAGATGGACACAGATGATGCCCCCACTTGCATATAACATTATAAAGGGGCATAACTTGAGAACAGTAAAAGTGACGCCACCCAAATTCAAACTTGATCTGTGTTTTGTGGTAATAAGCATTGTGTATACATTTCATAACATTTGGTTGAGGCAAACTAAAATTAGAGAACGGAAACCAATTTTGGGACGTACCTACAGACATACAGAAGGACGGACAGACAGACAAGGGTAACACTTAATGCCCCCTCCGGTGACGGCGGGGGCATAAAAATTATAATTATTTAATACCTCATGTAGTTGGTCATTAAAAATATACACCCCCTGGTGTTCACACCGTGTGTTATCCTGTGTTCATAAACCTTTGGAAATTCACTATATTGGAACTAAACTCTTTTCCATACTTTTATCAAAGCTCAATTCAATATTTCAAGAAACCCAAAACACTTCCATTATTGTTACAAATTATGCCAAGGTTAGATTTATTGCAATAATTATTGATTTTGATAACCATTCGCTATTTAAACATGTGCCAACTACTTCCCAAGATGATGAAAAAATAGTTTTTTTCAAGTAGAATTCCCTAACAAGGGTTTGGAAGCCATTAATATTAACAACATTATCCACAAAAAATCTGTGCAGAAAACAATACCGGACCACATTAAAGATAAAACTACACCTGTCATTTCATATACATGTATTCATATATATATATATACAGTCGAACCTCGTTGTGTCGAACTTGTTTGTGTCAAAACTCGGAGGAGTCGAAGTAACTTCTAGGTCCCGGTAAAATTCCCGTTTGATCAATCCATAATTACCTCTGATGAGTCGAACTAGGTTGATTTGAATACTCAGTTAAGTCGAGTAAATTTTATAGTCCCATCGATATAAAATTATTGTAAATTGACCCCGATGTCTCTAAGTTCGAAAGTAAGATATTTTGAAAAATGCAGACCTAATGATAAAAATTCAAATCGGATGTATTTCTTATGTAACCTAATCATTTTTCAAGAGAGATTAAAGCTGAGTAAACATACTTGTTTGTATAACAGTTAACATGTCATGTTTATGGTGGCCGATAATTAACGCCTTTGTTGATTGTTCAAGCGGAACGTTAGTGTGTTGAACATATTTCACATGAGATAATAAAATGCTCTGCAGGGCGCAGCTTGATACGACCGCAGAGGTCGAACCCTGAACAGTTGGGGCAAGTATGGACACAACATTCAAGCTTGATACAGCTCTGAATTTGGATTGTGATTAAATATTTGACACAGCATAGGTTTCCGACACAGAACTTAAAAATTTTAAATTGGACATTCACCTTTTATGGTCCAATATCCAAAATCTAAATACATGGTTAGATTCAGCATATCAAAGAACCCCAAGAATTCAATTTTTGATGAAATCAAACAAAGATTAATTTTGGACCCTTTTGACCTCAATGTGGACAAAGTTGATAATGGGGCCCAAAAATCAAAAATCTAAATACATGGTTAGATTCAGCATATCAAAGAATCCCATATATTCAATTTTTGTTGAAATCAAACAAAAGTTTAATTTTGGACCCCGATTTGGACCAACTTGAAAACTGGGCCCATAATCAAAAATCTAAATACATGTTTAGATTCAGCATATCAAAGAACCCTAAAAATTCAATTTTTGTTAAAATCAAACTAAGTTTAATTTTGGACCCTTTGGACCTTAATGTAGACCAATTTGAAAACGGAACCAAAAATTAAAAATCTAAATACACGGTTAGATTCGGCATATCAAAGAACCCCAATAATTCAATTTTTGATGAAATCAAACGAAGTTTAATTTTGGACCCTTTGGACCTCAATGTGGACCAATTTAAAAACGGGGCCCAAAATCCAAAAACTTAATACACAGTTAGAATCAGCATATTAAAGAACCCCAAGAATTCAAGAATAAAACCCCATTGAAATTGGTCAAGAAATAAGCAATTTATACGAAGTATCTTCTTTTGCACAATACTGTGCAATTGAATATTTCTTGCTATTGCGCAATACTGCACAATTGACAATTTCTTGCTATTGCGCAATATTGTGCTATTGGATATTTCTTGCTATTGCACAATACTGTGCAATTGAAGATTTCTTGCTATTGCGCAATACTGTGCAATTGAAGATTTCTTGCTATTGTGCAATACTGTGCAATTGAAAATTTCTTGCTATTGCACAATACTTATTATATAATAATTTACACATCCTGTTTGGTGTGTATCTCCTACCATATCATTATTATTTGCTTTTAAATATAAAACAGAAATAACCAACTTAAAATGGAAAATTTTAAAAGAAAAAAAAAAGGAAAAAAAAAAAAATCCCCCCCCCCCAATTTTTTGAACCCCCTTATGATTCATCACCCCCAAACTCAATCCCAGCCTTCCCTTTGTGGTATGGTACCTTGCAGTACAACTTCAGAGAGATCCATACACTTGAACACAAGTAATTGTCTGGAAACTAGAAAAATGCTTATTTTTGGCCCCTTTGTGGCCCCAAATTCCTAAACGTTTCGGCAATTACCCCCAAACTCAATTCCAGCTTTCCCTTTGTGATATGGAATCTTGTAGTACAATTTCAGAAAGATCAATACACTTACACACAAGTTATTGTCATGAAACTAGAAAAATGCTTGTTTTTGGCCCCTTTTTTGGCCCCTAATTTCTAAAATTTTGAGGCAATTACCCCCAAAATCAATCCCAGCATTCCTGTTGTGATATGGAACCTTGTGGTACAATGTCAGAGAGATCCATACACTAACACACAAGTTATGTCTGGAAATTACAAAAATGCTTATTTTTGGCCCCTTTTTGGCCCCTAATTCCTTTACTGTTGGTACCATAACCCCCAAAATCAATCCCAACCTTCCTTTTGTGGTATTGAACCTTGTGGTAAAATTTCATAGAGATCCATTCACTTAAACTAAAGTTAGAGTGCGAAAACCAATGTGTCTTCGGACGACGCCGGACGACGCCAGACGATGACGACGACGACGCCAACGCCAACGTCATACCAATATACGACCACAAAAATTTTTTTGCGGTCGTATAAAAATAATACAAGACTAACAAAGGCTGGAGGCTCCTGACTTGGGACAGGCGCAAAAATGCGGCGGGGTTAAACATGTTTATGAGATCTCAACCCTCCCCCTATACCTCTAGCCAATGTAGAAAAGTAAACGCATAACAATACGCACATTAAAATTCAGTTCAAGAGAAGTCCGAGTCTGATGTCAGAAGATGTAACCAAAGAAAATAAACAAAATGACAATAATACATAAATAACAACAGACTACTAGCAGTTAACTGACATGCCAGCTCCAGACTTCAATTAAACTGATTGAAAGATTATGTCTTCATCATATGAATATCAGGCACATTCCTTCCCGTTAGGGGTCCAGTATCATACCATCATAACATATATGAGAAGAACATAACCCGTGTCATGCCAACAACTGGTTTTTAAATAAATGTGTTTAGTGCCGATGCAAAGACCCTATAAGTGAATCAATATTAATGCCAAAAATGCTTATTTTTGGCCGCTTTTTGGCCCCTAATTCCTTAACTGTTGGTACCATAACCCCCAAAATCAATCCCAACCTTCCTTTTGTGGTATTGAACCTTATGGTAAAATTTCATAGAGATCCATTCACTTAAACTAAAGTTAGAGTGCGAAAACCAATGTGTCTTCGGACGACGACAACGACGCCAACGTCATACCAATATACGACCGCATAATTTTTTGCAGTCGTATAAAAACGAAACGAATTTAAATGACCCAAGCCGAGATTAAATGAATCGTTAGAATTAAAACTCATTAATTACAATAAATAAAAGGATTAAGACAATTTTGATAATGTAAAGCAGACGACCTCATCAGAGACCGTTCAGACCTTATTTCGTTCCGCAAGTGATTTCATAATTTATAGTGACTGACCTTTGTAAATATTTGTGTAGACTGTTGATTTTATTTGTGCATGATTTGTATCTGTACTTGTGTGTTTAATTATTATGAAGGACCAAAAATGGAGATTGAATACACAATCATACAGTGTCTTATCGAAAAAAGGCACACTGTTCAAAGTATGTAGTTTACGCAAATCTCATACCGTGTTTCATGCATTCCAAATTTATGACAACACACTCGACCTCGGATGAGTTGAACCTCAGATGAGTCGAACCTCGGATAAGTCGAACCTCGGATGAGTCGAATACTTTGGTCCAGTCCCTTCAACTTCGACACAACGAGGTTCGACTGTATATATATATACACCAAACCTATTGCTACCAAGATTTTCAACCACAATTTTACCATCAGAGATGTAAAATTCAAACCTCACCATTGCTCTTGTGCATCTTCCCCATACAGATATAGTCCTGCTGTTCATGTTATAACTGGAACCTTTGCATCATGAATAAATAATCACCTTAGAGAGTTATCAGCACATGAACAGTAAGAATTTCAAACTACTGGAGTTGAGGACTATGCCAGAAAATGGGTAAAGCACAAGCGAGATGAACAACTGGCACTTAATCTGATTGGATCAAAGCTGTTCAGTCATGCCTTTAGAAACACATTCAAAATCTGCATATCACCCCTATGTAATATTTTTAGCAACAGCGACCATGTTTGTTAATGGATCAAATCCTCAGATACAGTTTTAATCAATATTCCCAAAGAACATTCAAGTAAAGTTTGGTCACATTTGGCCAAGTTATTTCAGAGAAGATTTTTTAAGAAGTTAACAACAATGAACAGACAACAGAGGCCAATTGATGGCAAAGCTCACATGGCTTATGATTTTTGTTTACCTTGAATAGTCTCTTTTTACTAGATTTGAACATTGGTAAGCTACTGTTGCCTTAATTTCTAACTCCTATCAGGAGTCATCTAACAATTTTGGCCATGTTGACATCATTGAAGATCTTAATTGGCTAATTATTTCAAATTTTAAAGTTTCTCTCAATCTTTTATAAATTTTCAAGTAACTAATAGACAAAAGTTGGTAAAAAAAGTCATCATTTAAGGGCAATAACTCCTTTAATGAGTTGTCAAACTATTTTACTCATTCAACTTATTTGTAGATCTTGTCTTGTTGATCAATTTTGCTGTTCAAAGTTTCTCACAACCTTTTATAGTTTTCAAGATAATAGACAAAATGCAAAAATTAGTGAAATATGTCATTTAAAATAAAGATTTATTGGAAAATTTTGGTGAATATGGAAAGTAGGTGGACATTTATTTACTGAGCATTATTGCCCAGGTAGAATTCCTCTACCTATAACAGTTTTCAAGATATTAGACAATATTTTACCCCTTTGTTCTAGTTTTAGCAAGGGTGGCCATGTTGGTTGGCAGGCGGGTTCACCAAACACAATTTTACACTAGAAACCCAAAGGATCTTTTGTCCAAGTTTGGTTGCAATTAGCTGGGTTGTTTCAGTGGTGAAAATTTTTTGAAAAATTTAACAGATGACAGACTTCAAGTGATGACAAATAGCTCCAACTGGCCCTTTAGGCCAGGTATGCTATTAATTTAAATAAATACTGTGGTGTATGTATATTAGTCTACTTAAGAAATATAATCTTTAATATCAACCTTTCATTTCAATTTTTATAATATTAATATTCTCTATATTTCTTAAACAATTCAGTATTTACCTCTGCCATAACCATATCCTGACATTTTTTAATGTACTTATTCTCTGCTTTAACAATGTTCTGTAGAAACTTGATATATGGCACATGTCTACCATGTGTTTCTATACAATGAACAAAGTGTTGCACTACTGCTTCTGATATATCATTACAAAGCACAGTATTGTCTTGGAAAATGGCAGTCATCGTTTCAGCTTCAAGTAACTGAAATCATAATATTTTCAATTAAATGATAATATATTTATATTCTCTATTGACAGTAAATAATTTGTATTGAAATGAAATTAAGAAAGTTCACTGCATAAATTAACAATTTATCCTAAATATTTGTACAATACTATACTATCTTCCCTTTTTCTTAGGCAATGCATTATAAATATTTGGACAAGGAATTTTGTTCTCTATAAAATTTCAACAATAAAAAAATGTACAAAATTGTCAGATCTTTGATATTTATCTAGATTAAGCTATTTACAACTTTTTCTCAATTTAGAGCTTGGTATAGACATCTGTCCATTGTTGAAGACTGTATACTGAACTCTACGAATGTCTTCTGATCATGCTGATGAATTCTTTTATCTCATTTAAATACCCCCACATCTTCTTTCATTCATATATATCTCAAATTAATTTCTAACAAATAATTTTCTAATGAAGTCATTCAAAATATATTTTTAACAGAGATAAACATTCAAAAATGCCATATATAATATTTGAATCATTGTCCTTCGCATTTAACCCCAAAATAAGCGCACTGATCTAACCTTATTTCTCCACAATTGTTTTTTTATTTGTCATTTCTAATGAAAAATACTTCATTTTAAATCAAAGGTCAGTAAAATGGCCCTGCAGAAAACATTAAACCATTATTTATCAGTCTATGAGGGGAGTTAAAAATTTTACAACTAAAATTAATCATAAATTTTCAAGTGTTCATGACTTAAATATAATTGAAATTTTCTTGTAAGATTTTTTTATGAGAATGACAACAGGCAATCTTGACTACATTTATAAAGTTTTGATACATGAAGTGCCAATGTAACACATATTTGATATTGTGTCATGAACATATTTATCATATTGTATCTCTCCAAAGTTGCATTAAAGTTCATTTGTATTTAAAATATCAAATTCTTATTCCACAAGATGTTGTTTAATAATTATGTTCTAATTTGTTCAATCATTATCTCCCATTTTGAATTAGTGTGTTTTTTAAATTGAAAATGAAGCACATGTTATGCACATCTAAACACTAATAATCTTGAAGATTTACCATCCAGAATATATCCAGTTTCATATCATTAGCTTTATCATAAATAACAATGATCAAACAGTCTTTAATTAACCATCTACAAATTCACTTGTTTAAAGCAATTTGTTATTATTACTATTAGTAGTAAGCTATTTAGACTACCAAGGTTGACAAAGCTAGTTAGTAAAGACTGTTATTTCAGACAGAGGTGAACATTTGTTGACCTCTGGATGTTTTTTGTGTTGTTGGTTTGCTGTCTTGTTTGCATATATCCCACATCTCCTTTGTCTCAACATGTACTAAACAAATATTTGGTTATGTATCCTAATACTTGCTTCGTATTGTTTTGTTTTGTTTCACAAGAATTTACTGTGTATTATTTTGTTTACTGCATCCCCCCAAATAAAAAAGAAATGTTTTTATTATTCTATGAAAAAGTGAGCTGTGGTTAATATAATTTATTAAGCAGTCTACCACATTTGTTTGTGTTATTGCAGATATAAATAAGATATTATTATTTTTAAAAACACAATATAAATGGATTCATTTTTTTAAGGCATACAATACAGAAGAGATTTTTTTTTAATAAAATTTTATTTGCACTATTAAAATATCCAAAGAAAAATTAACCATCACGACTTACTTTAAATATAAATATATATGTTTAATTTTTGCATCTTGGAGGTCAAAACACAAAATTTCATATCAAAAAAGTTTTACAACAAAAATAAAACAACTTTCAAACAAAAAGATATTTTTCACCTTGTGTTTTTTGTTTTTTATTAAATGTACTGTAGTTTATAGACTTTTCAGTAGAACATGCATCATGTAGAAGGTGAAATAAGATAAAAGTCTTGTGAAATTATACTATTATTCAGGTACATACAGAAAAATCTACAGTTCATTTTTTTTGTGCAATTTTGACATGCACAATTGATTAAAGAAGAAATAATATGAGTGCACACATCTTGTCTACTTTCAATACTGATTATCGTTATACCGTATAGCGGGTTTTGTTTGCGAGTGTAAAATTTCGCGATTGAGGAGCAACAAAGTATAAGAAAAATTTTGGCGGTTTTTATTTTATTTTGGTGGATCCTTAATTCCCAATTACATATTTTGGCGGATACTGAAATGGTTGCAGTAAAAATAGTCAATCAAACAAGTGTTTATTGTTATGGTTGAAGGATTTTTTTTACCTGAATGACGTCTTATTTATTGATTATATTCTGATACAGTTAATTAATAGAATACAGGTAACTAAGATCAGGTGTACAAACTTCTTGTAAATATTACAGTTGATTACTTACGAAATTGACCTTTGTTGTACTAATTAAGTTATAAAATAATCAAGGGTGACTTATAACTCTTTTATAATTTGATACTAATTGATAAGGGTAAAATACCTGACAGAATACCTTGCACTCTTAAATAAGTTGACAGTAACTACTACCGGTGTACAGTTTTATTAGAACTCAAGGCGTCCTGTATAAAATACATGTATGTACAATGCCCTTTGACATTTATGTTGTTAAAACTACCATATACCTTTATTGACCTGGCGACCAGAAAAAATAGATTGTTCACAAAATGCTATTAGAAAGTACCAAACCTATGCATAAATTTTTGTGAAATTTATTTTGGTGATTTTCAATGATCTGCCAAAATAAGCCAAAATAAACTACCCACGAAAATAACCCTCTATACGGTATTTTATGTTTGAAAGTCTTTATAACCAAGGTTCTTCTACAGGTATAACATATGCTTAACATTATGAATGAAACATGAAAATCAGGTCGAGGTCAAATAAAACCTAGCAGATGGACAAGTAGACTATATAATGATTCCATACACCAAATTTAAAGTTGACCTATTGCTTACGGTATCTGAGAAACAGATCTTATCACAAAATATAAATACTGATCAATGAACACAAATATATGTCTAAGCTAAAATGTTGGAATTTGATTTGTTTTAATGCTAGTGTAAATTTGATTTTTGGCACTAAAACTTAATGCAATATTGTACATCACAACCTGATAAGAACCACTGTATTGTTACTAGAAAACCAGTCATCATTTACCTTGAGTTTAATGCCTCAAAATAAATTTTATGTGCATCCTTTGTAATAGCTTTAAAATTCATACAACAGAATTGAAGACCTCACTGTATTTCCACAAATTTTGAATGCCTATTAAAGAAACTGAGTGATAACAACATGTCGAATTTGGATGTTTTATTATATCTGTTCATGCTACGGTATTGTATGCCCTGAACCACAGACACTGAGTATATATTTCTGATTTAACACTTTTTAGTTATTAGCAAGCTGGAAAATGCTTAATTTTATACTTCACTGATCATATTGTTTGTACAAGAATTGAAAGTTTTTCCTTCAGTGATACTTACATTTTAATGCAAAATAGTCTAATGGATACGTACATTTCTAGTTGTATGTTTCTTTTTTATAGTACAAAGTGTTTGTTCTAGATACTGTCTAATTAAAGTGACACCCTGCTATTATTTCACAGTAAATTACAGTGCCCTGTCCTTTAAATGAAATTGTATGCAGTTGCTTGTGGAGTTCAGGATCCAAATAGTCAGTTTGTTAGAGTAATTTCCATTGAAACAATAAACAAATATGTGCCACTTGGAAGATAAAAAAATGCTACAACCTTTTTTTTTTTTTAACAAAAACAAAACAAAACTGAATGTTCTGGACAATGCAGCTAGAAAATTGCATCAAAAGAAAATCGGAGGAATAAAAAAAGGAAACTTTTTCCTTGGAACCAATTCCATTTCTTTTTTGGTGCATTTTATTACAAGAGTGCATTAAGTAAACTTTCTTTAACTTAAGGCAACAAGGGCAAATGTTCAGGTCAACTTGATTTAACTATTTGGATATTGTGAAAGCAAATAATGTTTGCTACTTAATAGTCACTTTGTCGTAAGATTTCTACTTAAAAGCAACTTTGTCACCCCAGTTGCTGACTAGTAAGAGACCAGATGACGAGCCCTAGGTTTTCAGTTAACTACTCTGTGGATTCATGACAATAACAACAACCAAAATAATTGATAAAATAAAAGGACCAAGTCCTTGGTTTCATGTGCTTGAGTCTGTGAAGTCATGACATTAAATACAATTACAAATAATTGATAAATGAAATATCTAAACAATTCCTGGTTATTTGCACAGTGGGATACTAGGTAGATAAAGCAAACAATAGTCTTGTGATTATATGATAAGCACATGTTAAATTTCCTTACATTTATCAGATGAATGCAAAACTAGAAATATTAAAAAAAAGTCAATTTTGAAAGTTAAAACAATTTATAAATTGATATTAATTTAAAGCACGTCCTCTATAATAGGTTCAAAAAATTTATTTGATTGATTTAATGTTTATCTTCATATATATATATATATCTTTCTATCAGCAAATCTGAAAATAGTTTAAATGAACTATGAAAACACAGAAATTTCTCACCTACTTTACAAATCATAATTAAAGGACAAGGTTCACTTATGGCACAATATGGCCTAAAATATCAACTTTATCATTAAACACCAAACGGTCACAATTTGGTTCATAAATTGGTCTATTTCAACAGCCTTAATGCTAAATAAATCAGTTCTTTTCATAAAAGTACATTATATTCTCCAAAGTAAGCCCATTTTGGAAATTTTGTCAAAATAAGATGATTTTGTGCAATTTTTAGACCTAAAAGCTTTAGGAAAACCTTGGCCGCCACCTACAATCCAAAATGTTTTGTTACCAAAAGATTCCAATTTTGATATAGAATTCATCAATATAAAAACATTTTGGATCGTGGATGGCGTCCAAGGCTAATTATGCCAAAAACAATTAAAATTATGGAAAAATTTACCAAAATTGACGTTAAAATACAAATAATGTTTATCTAAGGGGTCATAGCTTCATAAATTTTAAAGGAAGGTGCCAAAAAAATGTATTTTTGTCTTAATAGTATTATCACAAGTATTTCTATGTGAAATGTGTAGTATTTTGGTCTGATTAAAAAAACATCAAAATCTAAGGGCCAATCCTAGCCCTTCGTGAACATCCTCCTTTCAAGTTGACAGTCTTTAAGAAACAGGTATCATATAAACTTAATGTTGGTCAGTGAACCAGGAAAATGCTGGACATGTACAATGTACATCTTACAATCATTCTATGCACAGAATAAAGTTGACTTCTTGCTAATTATATCTGAAAAAAAACTAGCCTAATAAAAAAAACTTCACATTATGACTGTCCAATAAACCACGAAAATTAGCAAAGTCAGGTGAACTCTGCAAAACACTTTCAATCATTCAATGCACCGAATGTATTTCACCTTTTGCTTAGTTTTATAGAAACAGAGCTTATCACACAGACAAACCCTACGTGGCAGACATGGACATCTTGAACTGATCTTATATACCAAACATAGTTGACGTTTCATTCATAATAACTGAAAAAATCATGTGATAAAAAAATACTTTTTACGGATAAAGTTTTTAAGCAGTCACTGAACAATGAAAACAAGGTCAAGGACAACAAATATGCACTTTAGCAAACTTCAGGCCACTTATTAAGGCATCTATACGAAGTATCCAGGTCTTCTAACAATAGTTGTTGCCCACAGACTATCTTTTCTATGTCTTATATTCTGTGACTCATGTTACAGGGGAGATAAAAATTAAAGATTCACAAGACTTGACCATAATATTATAGCAAATATGATTCTAAGTAACTCTTTTAATTGCTAAGGAAATTTGACTTGATATATAAATGGCCTTTGGCAATTACTTCAAAAATACACCTTTCAGAAAAATTAAAAATAATGTAAAAACTCAAATATCACTTGATAAATTACTTTTAAAAGGATAGACTTAATTCGGTTTCAAGCTGAAAAGAAAGGACACTTATGCAGAAGTAAACCAAATTTGAATGGTCTAATAAAGCACTTATATTGCAATATATGAATAAACAGCTGTATCAAGAGCGCATGATACGCCCTTATTGAGCATATAGAAATTGTGCAAATTAAATGGGATATTTATGAGACGTTTAATCCAAAGCAAATAAAATGGCATTGTGGAAAACATGCATGAGAATACCCCTTTAAACTGAACAAATTACAAAATTTAACATGTGAACTATGTAAAACTTCAAAAGTCAATGAACCATGACTGAGAAGGCAGGGCATATATACTCTCCATGAAAAAGAGATCTTCTGACATTAATACAAAGGCATACCAAATATAACTGATTTATCATTAGTGGTTAATCATAAACTGACCAAATCACAAACTTTCATATGCAAATTATTCAACTTCAATAGATCATGACTGAGGTGCTGGGCCAAATAATCTCAATGGATATGAAATATGACAATATTAATACAGCTGCATACCAAATATCATTGACTTACCATTAGCTGTTCCCATCAAACTGACCAAATAACAAACTTTCACTTTTAAACTAAGGAAAAGTTTCAAAGTGAATAGACCAAGATTGACAGGGCAAAACAATTCCCTGGAAATAAGATGTGCCAATGCCAATACATCAGCAGACCAAATATCATTGACTTACCATTAGTTGTTTCCCTTGTACTGCTCTAATCACAAACTTTTAACAAATTGTTAAAGCTGCTGGAAACAGCACACCTTCGTCTCCATCCACAACTTTGTTGAGGGGAGACAATAAACCTAACAAGTTAATATTGAGTTATTACAACTTTTCTGTAATGTTATTTAAGAGGTATCCCTTTATTTCCAGTCATTAAAAATAAGGCCAAAACAATAAGTAAACCAACACAAAAAATTCCATGCTCAGTGGGTATAATAAAAACTCAAAAGTAATGTCAAACAAAAAATGACTGACCGGAGATCTGAAATAGCATAAATGGGTCGCCTCGACACTATCAAGTTCCTGAAAATATATCAAATTATTTCTTATTACAGATGCTGAGTAACATGTACAGACCAATGGACAAGGTGATAGCTGTACACCACTGTCTCTGTGAGTGGGGATATAAATATATGTGTCTAGGTTTTATTTTTACAAAAACAATCAAAGGGCCATAAGGTCAAGATTTTTTGTTTCCATGAGTGGGATAATATTGTCTCTTCAAGAGGTTAGTTATATTATCTTGCATAATAATTTACTAGAAGTCATCTGTCAATAAACAAAGTGAAAATGAGTAACATGGTTTTCGTGAATAGTTTAGGATGAAGAAAAATCCTCTAATAATATTATAGTTCAAGCTAAAAGCATTTTGGTTGGTTGGAAAACTCTAATTTAACATTTAAAATCTGTTATTACAGTGTTTAGAACTAGAAGATAGATCTAGGACCCAATGACTTAAAGAAAAAAAGAACAATTTTGGCAACTCTGTATCAGATACTGCATCTGAAAAATGTGTTGTAGCCTGAATGAAGGGAAAATCAGTTGTAGCCTGAATGAAGGGAAAATCTGTAGAAGCCTGATTGAAGGGAAAATCTGTTGTAGCCTGAATGAAGGGTAAATCTGTAGTAGCCTGAATGAAGGAAAAATCTGTTGTAGCCTGAATGAAGGGAAAATCTGTAGGAGCCTGAATGAAGGGAAAATCTGTAGTAGCCTGAATGAAGGAAAAATCTGTAGTAGCCTGAATGAAGGGAAAATCTGTAGTAGCCTGAATGAAGGGAAAATCTGTTGTAGCCTGAATGAAGGGTAAATCTGTAGTAGCCTGAATGAAGGGAAAATCTGTTGTAGCCTGAATGAAGGGAAAATCTGTAGGAGCCTGAATGAAGGGAAAATCTGTAGTAGCCTGAATGAAGGGGGAAATCTATAGGAGCCTGAATGAAGGGAAAATCTGTTGTAGCCTGAATGAAGGGAAAACTGTTGACCTATCAAATAATTTTCATGCAGTGTTTACAGATGATGAGAGAATTTATTGACTTTTTAGATCACAGATGTGTAAGCTATATTCCAACATTTTTAGACAAATGGATGATGGCTTCCTATTTCACCTTCTGATCAAGATGAACTACAAAATTGAAGTTACTGAAGCTTTATTATAAGGAGATAATCAACAAATTGAACTATTATATTTACCCCTGGAGTCATAAAAAGTTCTATATTTTGGTGTAACAAGGCCTGGTTTTGTTGATTTTTGAGACAGAAGCTCTGCAAAAACTGGTGTGCATATCTCATCACCTCATGCATTCTAATGTCATCATTCTGAAAAATAAACAGAAAAAACAAACATCACATCTTTCAATAACTTTTCACTTCTACATTTAACCTTAAAAAATCATATTATGCTCATTGGTTGACTTATTTACTTATTTTGTGATATTTTTGATTTTGTGTTATTAAATAATAAGGGTATAAAATAAGAATGTGTTAACTGCATTTATATTCTCTATCTTTAAATTAAAAAAAGAACAAAATGAACAGGAAAGGATTAAAACTGATTATTCAACAGAAGTGTAATAGTTTTATTGATTTTCATTTATTTCTCACAGCCAATGCTTCAACATCTTAAGATAACAAATTAGGTAATTAGGCAGTCATTTTAATTGTATTTATTTGAAAATGTTCTTACCAGTCCCAATGCAAATCATACTCTCCTATTTCTCCTATAGCAAGTTATAAGATTTCATGAGGTTATTCAATGTCTGCACTTCTACAGTCCAATTTGACTTTATCACAATATCACTTAACTAATTTCCAATGGTAAGGAAATCACATTTTATGATCTATGTCAAATTGTTCACTTACAGCAGATGTCTTTAAATAAAATTGGATACCCTGCATTTATCATGCTTTTCAATAACATATGGTCAAATCGCAGAAAGACCCACCCTCCTCCTAAATTTTTGAAAATTACCATTCTGCATTGACAATAATATATTGGTGTAAATTGGATACACCCATGTCAAAAATGACTGTCTGCAATAATTCAATGCTTATGTCTTAATTCTAATATGTATCAATTTCCAAAATGAACCTTTATTAAGGACTTTATTCACTTAGTCTACTATAGTAGCACACATGGACCATCTAATGTTAACTCATACTAACAGTCTCATATGGAATTTGTAACAATTCTAACACCACTTGATGGGCACTCATGTTTCTCAACAGTCTCTGTTCATGTGTTTTTGGTTTGTGAACACTAGGGTCAGCTGTTTCCTGTACACATAACCTTGTCAGTCTTTTTAAAATCTACAATATTGAACATCAAAATCTAATATGAAACATACATCCAAGCTTTTATTTGATAAACAAGTAAACTAGAGGCTCTAAAGAGCTTGTGTAGCTCACCTAGGTCTATGTGCATCTTCAACAATGGATACTCTCCATCTTTGTGGATTAGAATAGAATTCATGACAAAAACTCTTCTTTGTTGATCTAGTTTTGCTGATCATTTTTGCTTATTTAAGTTATTATCTAACTGTTAAAGTTTTTCAGATAATAGGCAAATAAATGGGGAATGTGTCCATGGGACACAGATGATGCCTCTGCTTGCATATCATATAAAGTTATAAAGGGACATAACTGAAGAACGGTAAAAGTGAGGTTACCCAAATTTGTACTTGAACTGAGTTTTGTGGTAATAAGTATTGTGTATAAGTTTCATAAAATTTGGTTGAGGCAAACAGAAGTTAGAGAACGGAAACGAAATATTCAGCAATTTTTCCGTTTGTAAAGGGGCATAACTCTAAAACGGTTAAAGTGATGCCACCAAAATTCAAACTTGATCTGAGTTTTGTGGTAATAAGCATTGTGTATAAGTTTCATAACATTTGGTTGAGGCAAACTAAAGTTAGAGAATGGAAACCAACTTTGGGACGTTTGGACGAACGGACAAGGGTAAAACCTAATGCCCCCTCTGATAAGGCAGGGGCATAAAAAAACACAACGTTGTTTTACATATTAAGTCATATGTTGCCATCATACCTATATAAATACTAAATATATATTGTTTCAAAAGTTTTTTTATGTGTTCTGAAGTTTTCTGAAGATGTATTATAAATTTTGTACATACATCATGGTCAATCATAGTGTGATATCAAAAATGTGTCATCAAGACATTAATTTGACCTGTTGATACAATTTGTAATGTATTTTTGTTATTTAATGTTTACTTATGCAGTGTTATATCTAGTCTCACTATTTTTAATATATACCACCTTTGATAAGTGTTAAGTATGACGATAAATTTTCACTTTTGTTCTCATACTAGGAACAACAAAATTATTTATTTGGTAAAAATTATTTCCGTACTCCATGTATACCTTTAATACAACAAAATTATTTTTATTTACCTGTGTACGTTACTTTGTCCAAGATTATGGTTGTCTTTCTGATATTGTTAAACATCTAACCCCCTTGTTTTATTAATTTTGTATTTACAATGTGTCATAGATCAAATTTATTCATTCAGTGTATGTTCACTTGTTTTTGTTAATATGTCTTTTGATTGAGTTAAGCCATTTCAATTGATATTTTATAGTGTGTCTTTCTATGTTGTGATGTTACACTTTTGTTTCAGGTAGGGTGAAGGTTGAGGCGCCTATTAAAACATTTAAACCCGCTGCATTTGTTTGCACCTGTCCTAAGTCAGGAACCAGATGTTCAGTAGTTGTAGTTTGTTGATGTGGTTCATAAGTGTTTCTCGTTTTTTATATAGATTAGACCGTTGGTTTTCCTGTTTGAATGGTTTTACACTAGTCATTTTTGGGGCCCTTTATAGCTTGCTGTTCGGTGTGAGCCAAGGCTCCGTGTTGAAGGCCGTACTTTGACCTATAATGGTGTACTTTTACAAATTGTGACTTGGATGGAGAGTTGTCTCATTGGCACTCATACCACATCTTCTTATATCTACATAGTAAGTGGAACCAGTTTGACTGTCAATTTGATAACTGAGTGTATAAGGTATAGAACCACTTATTCGGGCCTAGTCAGAAAAAACATACAAGCATGTAGTACATATTTTAAAACAAAATAGTTCCTACACATAACTGTAAATTTGTATATAAAATATTAGGTAAAATTTGGTATCAATTGAAAGCTTAAGGGCTTGGGCTCACTGTAGAACTCTTGTGGGAAGTTTCTTTTGAATAAATAAAAGATATATGAAATGGAAAAAAAAAATTCTTTCCCTCAAGATATGGTCATAATCTCAATTCAAATTTCCAATGGAGTTTGCAACCATAATCACCCATTTAAATTTACCATAGTGCTAACTTAATCTATTTTATAATAGAATCTAAGATATGGTGTCAAATCTTACATATGGATTTTTTTGTAAAAAAAAAAAGAGGCAACATTTGCAGATATTTTTACTGGTCTTCCTTAATAAATATGCATTTCTTTAAACATAATTTAAAAGCAGTGTAAGGGAGGTAATCAAAACGTTGTATTTGGATTACCTCCCTTACACTGCTTTTAAATTGTCTTAATTGTTCATTAACCATTACTTTATACATAATTTAAAAGCAGTCAGGGAGGTAATTCAAATGATGTATTTGAATTACCTCCCTGACACTGCTTTAAATTATGTTTTGTATTAAAGTATTTGTCCATTAAGCAGGACACCCTTGTTTTCCCCCCTTTTTTGCCCCTAATTCCTAAACGGTTTGAGCCATAACCCCCAAAAGCAAATCCTAAACATCCCTTTGTGGTATGGAAACTTGTGGTATAATTTCAGAGAGATCCATACACCATTCCACAAGTTATTGTCTGGAAACTAGAAAATGCTTATTTTTGGCCCCTTATTTCTTAACTATTGATACCATAACCCCCAAAATCAATCCAATCCTTCCTTTTGTGGTATTGAACCTTATGGTAAAATTTCATAGAGATCCATTCACTTAAACTAAAGTTATTGTGCGAAAACCAATGTGTCTTCGGACGATGCCGACGCCAATGTCATACCAATATACGACCGCAAAAATTTGCGGTCGTATAAAAAATCAATAGCGCTGCATATATTGTTATGACTAGAAGAACAGGTCATATGCAGTAATTTCTGTGATTTATGAAATGTTCATACAGTTCTGTAACTAAACTAAAATCACATGATACTTTCTTTAAAAACATAATTGCATTAACTTACATCTTTTATCTTCTTGTAATTTCTGACAGAGTGAGGGTCAATGGCTGGACCAAGATCATGATCTATTGGAGACCCCTGATCTGAAGAAATGTTCTACAAAATAAAATTGAAAGCACTGTCAATTCTGTAAGCTAAGCCAATCTGACTTAATAACAAAAATATCATATCCATACATGTGAATTATTACAGCAATATAATAAAGAGCTGTGCCATGAGCCCATGATACGCCCGTAGCTATTTCATCTAATAAAGTTTCATAACTCCTCAATGTCATATCAGAAGTTGATAAAAAAAAACTAAAGGGAGCTTATTTTAATAGATATACATCAGTCACCAAAGATGCATGAAAACTGCTGAAGCATTTTTGAGTTTTTGTCTGAAAACTAGAAAATCCTGCCTTTTTTATGAATAAAATCCCATAAATTGGAAAAGTAAAGCCTAAAATTTATAAAATTCGAATGAGAGCTTATGTCAATAGATATAAACAATTCACCAAAGTTTCATGAAAATTGGTTGAAGCATTTTTTGAGTTATTGTCCGATATGTTGACAACGGACAACGATATACCATTATAGGTCCCGTAAATGGGTGTATAAAAACTAGAGGCTCTAAAGACTGTGTTGATCACCTTGGTCTATGAACATCTTCAACAATGGAAACTCTCCAACTTCGTGAACTCGAATAGAATTCATGACAAAAGTCTCTTTTTTGTTGATCTTGTAATGCTGATCATATTTTTCTGTTTACAGTTTCTCTCTATCTTCTATAGTTTTTGCCCAAAGCACAGAAAGGGTAACAAGAGTGCACACACTGAAATGTCTCTCCTGCTTATAAGTCTTAAAGATAAAGGTTTTACTAAAAGTATTACATAAATTCAACATTTTTATAGGTCTATGACAATGAGGTCAAGGTCAGATAAATCATGTCAGACAGACATGTACACCTTACAATTATTCCATATACCAAATATAGTTGACCCATGCTTATGGTAATTGAAAAACAGACCATAAAATGAGGTCAAGGTCAGATTATACCTGCCAGACAGACATGTTCACCTTACAATTATTCCATACACCAAATATAGCAGACCTATTGCTATTAGTATTTGAGAAACAGACCTAATCACGTAACTTTAACCTTTATCACTGATCCATGAAATGAGGTTGAGGTCAGGTGAACCCTGTCTGATGGACATGTATATGTTGCAAGGAACCCATATACCAAATATAGTTATCCTATTGCTCATAATAAGTAAGAAATTCACATGACAAAATAAAACATACTGTCTTTAGGTGTGTATAGTACGCACTTTTTTACCCCAAAAAAGAAGTTGGTAGAGGGGGTGCGTATTATACACAAATATACACGTTTTTTGATTTTTTTGGTTTATTTTTATTAATAGCGTTTTTTTCTTCATTATTTTATATGTTCAAGACGTTTTTTTATTTTATTTCTTTATTTGTAATTTAAAAAAATGAGTGAGCTTAAAATGTAATTAAGGATTAAGTATGGGTGTGTAGCAATTGAATGATCATGTCAACTTTTGACAGGTGTTCAATATAATAACCTCAGGCAGTGCTCTAAATCAACATGATCAATGAAAGTGAATGATATTCCAGACGACATTCGTTTAAATCAATCAAAATCGGGTTTTAAGACGTATCTCTCTCAAAATATTAATAAAATACCTTTGTATTTTCACTTAGGCTGTAGAAGAGAACAGATATGTTTAGCAAGACTCAGACTCCAGAGTAGTGTTCCAAGGGACCATCTATTTAAAAAAAATCTTATCGAAAACGCACTGTGTTCCTGTGGTCGTGTAGAAACTACCTCTCATTACTTCCTCAAATGTCCAAAATATAATGAAATTCGAAGGTATACTATCGGGACGGTCTCTTGTTTTAATCTTAAGATTATCTTATATGGGGACAGTTTAAAATCTGACGAGGACAATATGCAAATATTTCATAAAGTTTCTGAATACATAAATAAAACAAAACGTTTTGAAAATTGATCTTGTATATATCAAAAAAAAAAAAAAAAAAAATGATGTAAAATCGAGTGGATTGTCCGTCGTAAATGACTATAATCTGACATGTGTGTTGGTTCCAGTGACTGTCTATCAAGAAAGCTTACGTAAAGTAGAGTTGACTGTTTCATTTTTTTTTTTTTCATTTATTTTTTTTGTTTCACATTTTCTTTCTTTTAATTTATTTTATTTGTTAGTTGTATTTTTTTTTTCTTTTCTTTTTTTGTGTGTGTATTTATTCAGTTTATCATATGCTACCTTAAACTGAATATACTGTTGGTATGTAATATTGTTTGTTAAATAGATGTTATTTTTTTTTTTTTGGGAGATGGATTTATATAAGTTTTTTCAAACTTGTTTCCGAATCCCATATTTGAACTTTATCTAACATTGTATTGTAATATTTTATTCTTGTAATTTTTCATTAATAAATACTGTTTAAACTAATGAAAAGGAAATATCGGATTAAAGAGTCATCAATTTTTAATTACTGCTAATCAACTTTGAAAATGTTTGAGGTCTAATCCTTTGTTCCATAACATTCTAATTATTACTTTTACAATATTTGAACAGCTACAGCATCAGCTTGGACAAGCTTAGACAAACATTGATTTCAAAAGGGATCTTTAATTAATAACTTTACTTTTATAAAATTAATGAATGTTAATTACATGATAAAAGCTCTACCATTTAAATGTTTGTAACTTTAAAATAATTTAATTGAACAATCAATCTTATTATTTTTATCTTTCAATAGACTTAAAAGAAGATTTAGTACATGGTTTTATTGTTCCCTTTTAAAGGCTTTATACAGTGAACTCGACTTAAAAAAAAAAAAAAAAAAAATTATTATTTACTTTTTTTTTGGTTTAATTTTAATTTTCTTTTTTACCATTCTATTTTTTTCTTTACCTTTTAATTTTTAATTTTTTTTTTACTTTTGTTTTTTACTTTTTTCATTTATTTTTTTATACTTTTTTTCACAATTTTGGAGGGATATAAAGGGTGCGTATTATACACGGCAAATTACGGTAAAAAAATATTTTCAAGCAGTCGCTGAACCATGAAAATTAGGTCAAGGACAATGGAATATGATAGACGGAAACTTCGTAACATAATGTATCTGCATACCAGGTATGAAGCATCCAGGTCTTCTACCTTCTGAAAAATAAAGCTTTATAGAAATAGTTTACATCGCCGCTGGATCGTAATCCCTAAGTCTCGCATACTGCGACTTTTGTAGCAGGTGAGACAAAAATGCATGATTAAAACTACTTCTAGTAATTATTAAAACATTCTATAGATTTTAATCTAGACACCCCCCCCCCCCCCCCCCCATCTACCAGAAGATATTTTTTTTTCGAATATGCAATACATTTAATTACCCAAACTGACGGTTGTTTAGCTTTCTTTTTCCCATCCCCATCTCCTTTCTCTTCTTTGCTTCCCTGAAAAACAATATATGTGAAACATAACTTTGGATATGATTTAAACAATAAACATCAATATGCATTTGCTGTTTGTACAAATAAAATCATTAAGATCCATGATAATTCTGTTTTTTTCATTTACTCCATGTTTAACAGGAAAATTTTACTAAATGAAACAATTATTATTTGGTATCCCACAATTATATGGCTTTTTTTTAAAAAATTTCTCACAACTTGTCTAATAAAATGGCTGTGTAAGCTGAGTTGTGATCTTTATAAATTTGTAGCACAAAAATAAACCCCAGATTTTTCAGGTTTTGGTGATGAAAAATGTGAAGTCAGCTGACAATAAATAAACAAGTGAAACTGCGAGCTACTGCTCACTGATGATACCCCTGCCGCAAGTGGATAATTTTAATAGTGTAAAAATATGTAAGTGTTCGGTAAACAGGAAGTTGTTGAGTGATGAATCTGAAAACGCATCACACGGTATAGCTGACTTATATAAACCCTGAAACCAAACAGAAATCCTTGTATTGTAGTTCCTGAGAAAAATGTGACAAAAATTTTCAACTTGCCTATCATGTGTAAAATGATACAAATGTTCGGTAAACAGGAAGTTGTTGAGTGATGAATCTGAAAACGCATCACACAGTATAGCTGACTTATATAAACCCTGAAACCAAATTTCAGAAATCCTTGTAAATTAGTTCCTAAGGAAGATGCGACAAAAAATATTCATGGGACGGAAGGACTGACTGATGGATGGATGGACGGACAGACATAGGTAAAACAGTATACCCCCACTTTTTTAAAGCGGGGGTATAATAATAAGGATGGAAAATAGGTATTGCGAACTTAACCTTTAACCTACTGAACAAAAAATCTACAGAGATTTCCTTCATCCCAAGGGGCATAACTAAACCAAGTTAGGTGACTGTTGGACATTAGGTTCAAAAGATATAAAAATTTTGCCTCAAATTTAGTCGATCAATAGCTACTGTGACCTTGACCTTTGATCTAATGACCATTAAATTAATATATGTCTTTTTCATCTAATTGGGCATTTGACCAAGTTTGATAAAGTTTCACAAATGGTTAATAAGATAACTAGAGGATCTAAAGAGCCTGTGTCGCTCACCTTGGTCTATGTGCATATTTAACAAAGGACACTCTCCAACATTGTAGACGAGAATAGAATTCATGACAAAAATCTCCCTTTTGTTGATCTTGGATTGCTGATCATTTAGTCTGTTTAGTTTCTCACTATCTTCTTTAGTTTTTGCTCAAAACCCAAAAGTGGGTAAAAAATCCTCATTTAAAGGGGCATTAGCTGTCAAATTCATGTTCACCGATTTGACTCAAATTCTTATATTCGACTTATAACATACGAAAATGCATATCCAAATTATAAAAAGTCTAAGGCCAAAATTAAAATAAAGTTTGTTTCCCCACACGTCGACCGACTGAAAAAAAAAACGGCAGACTCAAATTTTTTTTAGTGTGTTTCTCTACATTTTTTTTTTTACCAAAACCGGAAGTTGGAGATCGTACCCGAACTTGTTCTGTATTTATCAAATATTTCAACGTCAGTAAAATTGAAGTATCCAAATAGAAAGGTGAAAAGCGTCGTATCGAATAGACTATATAGCTTTAAATTAAGCACCATATGGAAGGAAGTTTTAGAAGATGTTAGTGATGTTGTATTAAATAGGACGGACGATGTCCGCTTGCAAGTTGCAGACAAAAGTTGGGTCAACATTTTTAAACCTGATTTTATGAACCTATAAGTATTGTGCACAAAATTTGACGAGACATTAAAGTATGTAGTTTTTGAGATCAACAGGGAGGAAGAAAATCACAGAAGTGATAATGATTTAAATGATTTAAACAACAATGCACCGGCGGAACAACCAAATGCCTTTTAAATCCTGATGTCTCAGAATACAGAACAGAAGTCAGCCAAAAAAAAAGATGAAACATCAGCTGGAAGATTTAATGGTATAATCTTTAAAAAAACATTTGTCACATTGAATAATAATTGAGGCATATATTTTTTTCTGCAAAGAATATGTTCCTTTAGGATAAGGGGAACTGGCCAAATTCTTTGTCAGAACTTAAAATTCTGGTATCATTTTTATCTGTATGATTCTGTCCCTCACCTGTTTTGAATTTTAGTAAATATAAAACTCACTTTGGAACATACACTCAATGAAGGGGGGTAGGAGGGGGTACCTTCCTGTCAAAATAAAAACATCATCCCGTTTTCTTGTAAAATTGTATACTATAAACTTGCATCCCAAATCTACATGAAATAAAATGCTTCCTGCTAAGTGCTTATTCCAAATTCCCATGGAATTCAGCATTCACGATAAAGGTCCTACTGCCCCTCTTCAATGAACATACATAGTATTGAAACTTGGTACACTTAATAAAGATTTATAAATATATTTGGTTTAACTAAAAAAATCAGCCCCATCTAAAATGGTTTATACATTTAAATGATATTTCTATATTTTAAGTGCAGCCAAATAAGAGGTGTCATTTTTAAACTTAATGTCTGAAAAAATAAATTTTATGCTGCAGGTAATGTAAATACATGTATTACAGTATTTACATTTTACATGTTCTAAAAGTCCTGAATATTTAAAAAAAAAATAAATGAAAGGGTTCACATAACAAACAGAAACTCTGAGACAAAAAACGCTGAAAGGCGACATAAACCTCCCCCCCCCCCAAAAAAAAAAACCAGATCTGTCTGACATAGAATTTTTACACATACATGTGATAGGTACATACAACAAGTCTTCATGTCAAAAGCCCCAATAAAAAGTTTCAATAAAAAATTATAAGACCAATGTTGACATGTAATTACGTGCATGTAAATACATGTAACTAATTTTAAAGGCCCTGCATCAGAATTTTAACAACAATACATACATATATAGAACAAGCATTCTGTGAGTATTGCATGGCAATACATAGTCCCCTACCGGTTAGAAATTCATTGTAATGGAACGAAATTCTAACTTGATCTATAACTTGTCATGGTGTAAACTACATAAAAATATCAAGTCAAAATCCTCAAGCATGACGAAAAAAACTGTTGAAAACTAATTATTTAAGTGAATTTTCTATGTCCAAAGACCATAACTCTGCACAAAATCATCAGACTGTAACAAAATTCCAACTTGATCTGTAACTTGTCATGATATAACTATATACTATCAAATCAATATCTTCAAGAATGACCAACAAACCTACCACTACATTCTTCAAACAATTTACCAAAGAAAAGTAAAAAAATCCAAAAAATCTTTTAAATAAAATGCTCTGCTGAGCGCAGCTTGATACGACCGCAGAGGTCGAACCCTGAACAGTTGGGGCATGTATGGACACAACATTCAAGCTTGATACAGTACTGAATTTGGATTGTGATTAAATATTTGACACAGCATAGGTTTCTAACACAGAATGAATGTGGTCTAAGAACTTAAAAATTTTTAATTAACCTATTCAAACCATATCATTATTATTTGCTTTTATATATAAATCAGAAATAACCAATTTAAAATGGAAAATTTTAAAGAAAAAAAAAATACCTCCCCTAAATTTTTTGAACCCCCTTATGATTCATCACCCCCAAACTCAATCCCAGCCTTCCCTTTGTGGTATGGTACCTTGCAGTACAATTTCAGAGAGATTCATACACTTGAACACAAGTTATTGTCTGGAAACTAGAATAATGCTTGTTTTTAGGCCCCTTTTAGGCCCCAAATTCCTAAACGTTTAGGGCAATTACCCCCAAACTCAAACCCAGGTTTCCTTTTGAGATATGGAACCTTATAGTACAATTTCATAAAGATCCATACACTTACAAACAAGTTATTGTCCTGAAACTAGAAAAATGCTTGTTTTTTGCCCCTTTTTGGCCCCTTATTCCTAAAATTTTGAGGCAATTACCCCCAAACTCAATCCCAGCCTTCTCTTTGTGGTATGGTACCTTGCAGTACAATTTCAGAGAGATCCATACACTTGAACACAAGTTATTGTCTGGAAACTAGAAAAATGCTATTTTTGGCCCCTTTTTGGCCCCTTATTCCTAAATGTTTTGGGCAATTACCCCCAAACTCAATTCCAGCTTTCCCTTTGTGATATGGAACCTTGTAGTTCAATTTCAGAAAGATCCATACACTTAAACACAAGTTATTATCATGAAACTAGAAAAATGCTTGTTTTTTGGCCCTTTTTTTACCCGTAATTCCTAAAATTTTGAGGCAATTATCCCCAAAATCAATCCCAGCATTCCCTTTGTGATTTGGAACCTTGTGGTACAATGTCAGAGATATCCATACACTAACACACAAGTTATGTCTGGAAGTTACAAAAATGCTTATTTTTGGCCCCTAATTCCTTAACTGTTGGTACCATAACCCCAAAAATCAATCCCAACCTTCCTTTTGTGGTATTGAATCTTCTAGTAAAATTTCATAGAGATCCCTTCACTTAAGCTAAAGTTATTGTCCAAACACCAAATGTGTCTTCGGACGACGACAAATTTTTTGCAGTCGTATAAAAACGCAAAAAGTTGGTAAAAATCGTCATCAAAGGGCAATAGCTCTAATAAGGAGTCGAATGACGATTTTGACCATGCAGACTTATTTGTAGAACTTTTTTTGCTGATCATTTTTGCAATTTAAAGTTTCTCCCTATCTGGGTCAATATCCCTAATGGACCTTGAGATGAGGAACTCAGATAACATAGTTTAAAAAAGATATCAGTCCGCCATACAATTGTGGATGCTGTGATTTTAAAAATGGACATATTTGAACTATATAAGAACTGTTTTATAGAGCTGATGTGATGAGAAAAGAAATATGTAGATTTGATCTTAAATAAATGATTAGAAATGACAAATTTTTTATTTAATTTTATGATCAGAATTTTGGGATTATTTCATGAGGAGAGTGACATTTTTTAACCATCTTTCGGGTCCGGCAAGTTTTGGGAAAACTAAT